CCATCATCCTCTAGAAAGAATAGTTTATAAATGTGGAACAGAAAATGATAAACAAGAATATGAAATTATGTTGCCAAAACAAAACAATTCCTACGTCACTCAATAACATTCTTCACTGACTCGTGCAGTCAGGATCTTGGAGGAGCAGTCACTGAAGAAAAAAAGTTTCGCCTCAAATTAGACACAGAGCTAATACTTGATGGTATCATCTTGCCATACCTTCATAGAAAAGTAGCTAAACTTCTTGATATACCGCAAATGAATCTCTACATTTTGTCGCTTAGAGAGGGCTGCCTTGAAGCTGTTTTCTCAATTCCTGAAGCTACGTATGAGAAATACTTTCCACTGACGCTTGATCGCTCAAGGGCATTGGAAAACTTGACTTATGAGCCAGTAGGACTGAAATTCAAATCAATATATTATTCAGATGTAAGTCAGTAGAGAATGGTCATAAAATGAATCTAATTATTTACTAACAGACTTGGAGTGTCAAATCTGATGAGCAAGACGCATCATTCACTGATACAGAAGGTTAGATGCTAAATTTACTTTTCCTCACCACTATACTAGCATGTTTTATATTACATGCATACAGTAAATATATGTACATGAAACACTTATATTTTGTAGATAATACATTGTAAATTTTGCCAATTTCACAGATGGTATTAATTTTAAAAATTAAACTCCACCAAAATTTAATGCCACACCTTGTTTAGTAAATAATGTTTAATAGTCATTTTCTGAAATTTTGATTTGCAAATTTCTAGCAGGAAAAATTTCAAAAAATTATGTACATGTATCCATTAAATTAAGTGCTATATGATATCTTTGTAGGACAAGTTATCATCAGAGACCCAAATGATACAAAAACAGACATACATGTATCGATACCAGTGAATCACACAGACAATGGTAAGCAAAATTGGTAAAGGGAGTTAGTAAATAACTGAGTGTCAATTGTAAATTACCTTGTTTACATAATAAATTAAAGCCAATTACCAACAGTATAGCAGGATTCATGGTATGGAATTAGATTGTCAAAAAAGTCAAATTAAAACTTAATTGTCAGTTGTTGCATATGTACAAGTGGTACTGACATGTCCTCTATTCAACCATTTAAAAATACACACATACACCAAAGGTATACTGGTTTATTTTTTAGGCTGAAAATTTTTGCCAATCTTGCATTTGTAAAATTGTGCAAAATTAATGTTTGGGCATAGCTTGCAGACTGCACCATGTAGCAATGGAGATGCACAATTTTGCAGTGAATAATTTTTGCGATGAATTAAAAACTGGTATAGTCCAGTATTTAGGATTGGAAACATGTCAGTACAATACAAGTACGGTAAAGCGAATTTTTTCAGAGAATAATAATTTTCTCAAATGGTCTAAATCCAGAGGTTCACAAAATTAATTTTCACAAATTTCAACTATTGTGCCATCTTTTACTGTATTAAATGTAAATTGAGTTCCAAGGAACTTAATTTTGTGAATCTGCACAATTTGTTATCCTCAAAAAACTGATATGCAGTACACTTAATAGGTCAAACCAACAAGAACACTACAAAAAGTGATAATACACTATGCACACCTGATATATCTAATGGGGCAAACAAGCATGAATTGGTTCCAGAGGATGACAATGATGAAGACAATGATCCTTTTGCTAATACAGGAACAAACTTATATAATATAATTAGTGAACAAAACGATACATACACTGAACTGGAGCACATTGTACCACAGCCAGGTAATTATTAATTTATAATTACACTATTTATTAATAATCTTATCAGGCCGCAAAATGCACCGAATATCAGTAAGAGAAACGGCTAACGAGAAACCGTTCGTACTACATTCGCCTCCCTATAACAAAGAAAAACAATAATTGTTTTACATGTACGATTTTAAAACTAATGGTTCATGCATAGTTGCTTGTTATTTGAAATGTTTTACAGTGTGATTCATTGGTTGTTATATAGAGTAAGATATTAATTCTTTATTTTGTAACAAGTGTATGAGAGGGGCGGAGTCAATTATTAGTGTGTGGTTTTTTTTAGTATAAGAAAACATGGAAGTTGTAAGTATGGAAGTATGACAGAGCCATACTGTATGGCTAGAAAATTTTGAGGGCATAAATTTTAGTGTTTTAGTGAAAAGCTCTTAATTCTTTAATTTTGAGGGGGTTAAATTTCACGTTTTTGCACATGCACTTGCATTAAGTCATTGATTTTCACATGCTGCGCATGCGCAGTGAGCATTTCCTGGCATTAATTTTCGTGGTTAAGAAGTTACCCACGAAATCTGCAAAATTAAATACCCCACGGAATTTTCTAGCCATACAGTATAAAGATTCTAATGACTCCTAAAAATGGTCTTTCCAGCAGTTTTACTATAAATTTTGACTTTATGATCTGTGTATGCATTAAATTTGTGAACTGAGTGAAGTATGATGCATTAATAATTATCAATGTAATGTTAATAAGAATTAATTATTAGCCTAGGCAGACAACTGGCCTGTCAATAAACAAAAAGGGGGCGGATTCAAGTCTATGGACAAATTTTAGCAAGCATTAAAAACCATCAACATATTTACAAAATCAATCATAATCTATTGGCAAGAAAAACTGTCAATCAAAACCCCACCATTTCGTTTTAATCTGAGCATGTTCAATAGCAGATGACATTTAATATAAAATAAGCCACAATTAATGACTGGAATAATTTTGGAGTGAATCAGGTATGTATTACAAATACATGTACATGTACACAGGCATAATATAAACTAAGTACAGTATATATTTACTACATTACAAAATTTACTGCAAATGTAGATACATGTAAGTACAAGGAAGCATAAAATTTTTAAAATAAAAAAACACTAGTTGCAATAGCTAAAAATTAAAATAAAGTACCTCTTTAGTAGCACATGTATCAGAGAGTGTCTTTCCCTTAGTAGCTACTTCCTCCTCCTTCTTGGCTTCTTTTTCAGGCTGAGTCACTTTAATAACTTTCTCCTTTTTCTCATCTTCAATTATACTAATCTCTGGTATATGCAAGCTAGGAACTCTTCAACTGTACTGAAGCCATACTCAATCAGTGGGAGCTCTCTGGAAGTTATTTTCTAAATAAATGAACACAATAAGGAATAAATGCATCATTTAAACTAAACAGCCAAACACAAATAACACAGTATAGTCCATATCATCTACACAAATTTATGTACATGTACATTGTATCAAAGCAAATTAGAGGATAAAAATTCCTCAAATATTTTAAATAATAAATTAAAGCTACATCATACACTGTCACATTAACGAACCTCAAAAAACTTTGGAAACTGGAGAACAGGAACAGGTGGAGATTCTTCTAATATTCTACACACTAGCAGTGACAATGTTTCAGGAATGGATGTGGGCTTTTTGATTAATGCAGTTGCTGCAGAAATACCTATAATAAAAACATTAATAAACATTGAATTTTAAAGGTGAATTGTACATCTGTATATGTGCAAAAAAGAGTCACAACTAATTCTTTATACATCATTTTGATTATTTTAAAGTGTAACAACATACTCTACATGCCCAATTTACATACATGTACAATGTATACAGTTAAGTACATGTAAATGTAATCCAACAATTTAAACACCTTTATTTTGAGAAAAAAAAATAGGCTTAAAAACAAAAATAGTTCACAGAACCATTACATAAATCTCCATTTTAAATGCTACATGTGCAAGTACAATACTTATTACCTTACTACACATTATAGCATACAGTTAATTATGATTATTACTTACAGAATACTATGATAAATGGCAAACAGTACCATATAATAAATAAGATACAGTACAATATCATTAATAGCATACAGTACATTATGATGAAGATGAATAGCAAACAGTTCAGTATGATTAATAGCATTCAGTACATGATTAATAGCTTACAGTCCATTATAACAAATAGCAAGGAGTACATTATAATAAGAAGCATACAGTCCAATTATGATAAATAGTACGAATTACATTAATAGACAACAGTACATTATGATTAATAGCAACAAGTACAAAAAGTAAAAGTAAGTAATAAATTTTATCCTTTAAAACTTGTAGTTTTGGAGAAATAAGCACTTGGCAATTTAAATGTAAACCAATGCAGTTTTAAAGAAATTTGAATTGATTTTTGCTCACAAACTAAAAGCTTGTTGACAAAAATATTTGTTGTGCTTAACAAGGATACTAATAGGGTGTTGCGCTAAAGTTTCACATCACAAAAACTCTCAAAAATTAAAAAAATACAATGGACTATATGATACAAAAATTTTCATATGATTTAAAACTTACTGATCCAATCTCTGGATTAGACACCACTAGCTTGTCACCACTTATTCCATTATAAAAGTGAGCCATGTCATCATGCAGTGAATCAAGAGCTTGTGTTGTCTGTTCTCCTATTATCTGTATACACAGGTAACTTGGTGTCTTCACATATGTTACATACACACCAAACAGTTTAGAGCCTTTTGGAATAGACACAACCGAATAACACAATGAATAATCGGTTAAAATATCTTAAATTAATTAACATCTATAGCAGAGAAGAGAACTAATAAATTTATTAATTGCATCTCTTAGCCATTTTTGACAAAATAGTTCACATTATTAATAATTCATATAATCAAAATAAGCTCAAATTTTTGACAATTTAAAAATAACATTAATGAAGTCTATCGACAAAATTTAGTAAGCATTAAAAAAAACATCAACATAATTAACAAAATCAATTACCGTAGAACGGGAAATTTTTGTTGTTAAAATATTTTCGTGGTTATAGTGACCCATGAAATATTGACACACAAAATATTTTCTACAGTCAATAATAAGATTACAGGAATTATTTTAACGTGCAGTAGTCCACACACGAGGCTCTTCTAAAAGCCCAATGAAGGCCTGAAGCTCTCACCCAAGAGGCTCCTTGTCAGTTTCAGTGTTTTCACGAGCAACTTCCATTAAATAGCTGTCCAGCGTCATCAAGAGTTAGTAGCTACGTGTCTAGTGTATGATGCATCCAAAATTTTTTATGTTGAAAAAATTCATGGATGGGTCAGCCCACAAAAATACAACACCTTTACAAAATTTAATGCCAATTATTTTTAACATAAAATTTCCCGATCTACGGTGTAATCTATTGGCAAGGAAACAACTACCAATAAAAAACCCCACGATTTCATTTCAATCTGAGCATGCTTAATGACAGATGGCACTAAATACAAAATTAGCCACAATTGAAAACTGGAATAACTTCGAAAGTCGGAACGAATCATGCTTACATTATAATACAAAAAATGCCTTATACGTGTACATGTACACATGTAAATAATGCAAACTAAGTACAGTAACAGTATATTTACTACATTAAAAAATTTACTGCAAATGCATATACTGTAAATCTTTAAATAGAAGCCGCATTTGAATAAACGCCGGGGTAGCAATACAATTTAACTATCAATATGCAACACTAGCCCAGTAGTGATTCAGTAGTCTAGTGGATAATGCCTTAAGTGCCAGAAGTCAAAAGCATGAGGTCATGGGTTCAAACCCTGCTCTGTGCCTGATTTTTTTATTTTTTATATATATTTTTGAGGTCCAAATACCATTTTAGGAAATAGATGCCCAGGCTTTTATTTAAGGAAATACAGTAGCTACAATGAGGCATGAAATTATAAAATAAAAAACTAGTTGCAACAGATATATATGCATTAAAATAAATTACCTTTTTAGCAGTACAAGTATCTGAGAGTGTCTTTCCCTCAGTAGCTACTTCATCCTCTTTCTTAGCTTCCTTTTCAGGCTGTGTCACTTTAATAACTTTCTCCTTTTTCTCATCTTCAATTATACTAATCTCTGGTATGCAAGCTAGGAACTCTTCAACTGTACTGAAGCCATACTCAATCAGTGGGAGCTCCCTGGTTGTTATTTTCTAAATAAATGAACACAATAAGGAATAAATGCATCATTTAAACTAAACAGCCAAACAAAAAATAACACAGACACAGTCCATATCATCTACACAAATTTATGTACAGGTACATTGTATCAAAGCAAATTAAAGGATAAAAATTTGTCAAATATTTTTAATAATAAATTAAAGCTAGATCATATACTATCACATTAATGAACCTCAAAAAACTTTGGAAACTGGTGAACAGGAACAGGTGGAGACCCTTCTAATATTCTACGCACTAGCAGTGACAATGTTTCAGGAATGGATGTGGGCTTTTTGATTAATGCAGTTGCTGCAGAAATACCTGTAATAAAAACATTAATAAACACTGAATTTTAAATGTGGATCGTACATTTATATGTGCAAAAAAAGAGACAACTATTTCTATAATTACAATTTTGATTATTCTATTGCAGTAACAACATACTCTACATGCCCAATTTACATACATGTACTATAATCAAGAGTACATAATATATAAAGAGAGTATCGAACGACCCTATAGAAGACTACTGCATGAGGGCGTATTTGCTCAAAGTCACAATCCGCATACTCTAGTATACTTATCATATCACGTGATCCACCATGTGGCAACATTATCTGGCCCTTAGCTTTTAAAACTTGGCAATCTCTTCCAATACAAG